CCCCAGCTCCCGGCGGGTGCGGACCCGGGAGGACAGGGCCACCTGGGCCACCTGGGCCACCAGCCAGAGGCACAGCAGGGCGCGCATGTCCCCGGTCATGTCCCCAGACCTGCACAAGGAGGGCAGAGAGGTCACGGGGGTCCTGCAAGCCCCATCTCACTGTGGGCGCTGCTCCCACCCTGCCTTCCCCAGGCTCCTCAAAACATTCCGGTTTTGTAACTCCCCTTGTGACCACGCAGCTCAGCCTCCAGAACACCCTCTCCTCACTCCGCGGCACCTGAGGGGCCCCGTGCCCGCCCACCCCTCAACCACAGGCTCCAAAAACAAAACCCCCACGGGAAGGGGCTCCCCGGGACACTCGGGGGCTTGGCCGGGTGCCTTTCCCAACGCCACCCCCAGTCCCCATCGCGAGCAGTGCCGTGAGCTGCCAGGTCTCAGCCCGTGGGGAGTGATGGGGACCCCTGAAGCGGCTGGTGGGGACAATCCGGGGGGCACACGGGGTGGCATCCCCTCCTGCCGGGTCTCTCCCGCGGCCGTACCCGCCCCGCTTGCAGCGCGGGGACTCCAGGGACCCCGGTAAAGAGGGAAGAAGGTGACCCGGGATCCCACGCAGATCCCACAGGGTGGGATCCCCTCCCCGTTCCTGGCCGTACCTGCCGTGCCCGTCGCGCAGAGACCCCGGGAGAGGAGTGGGAACTCCTCACGGAACTCATGGGGATCCCCCTTCTCCCGTCCTGCCCGGCACCCCCCTAGCCCCACCCCGTCCCCCCCGAGCCGGTCCCGTACCTGCCGCGCCCGCCGCTCCGCCGCCCCGCGCCCGCCGCCAGCCCCGCCGCTCCTTATAGCCGCGCCCCGGCCGGGGGGAGCGGGGAGGCGCCGGGGCAGCCGCGACCGGCCCGGGGCGGAGCGCAGCGGGACGGGGGTCGGGCATGGGGTTGTAGAGCGGAGCCCCAAACTTGTGGCCCCCTCGGCAGCAGTCCCCGGCGACATTTCTGTCCCCGCGGGGCCGGGGTGTCCCCGGCTCCTGATCCCTTCACGGTGCCCCCCTGCACTGCCCTCTCCAAGTGGGTGTCCCGGTTACCGTGCCAGCACCCCCTGCTCCGTGCAGGGGGAGCCGTCCCGGGGGGGTTCCCCATTCCCCGGGTGTGTGGAGAGGACAGGAAAGGAGGGCTGGAGAGGGGAGGGGGCTGCATTCTTCCCCCTTCCAGGCGTGTACAGCTGGGTACAGCTGAGAAAGGGACACCCCAGGGCACGGAGTTGGTGTCACTCGGATCCAGCCCCAGGGCCCCGCTGCCAGCGCCCAGCCACGTGCTCAGGGACCAGGGCCGAGGGGGTCTTGGCCACCCCCCAGGCTCCTCTCCCCCCGCGGCACCAGCACCTGCTGCGAGACCTCAGCCGCCCACTCGGGGCTCCTGCTGTCCTCGCCTCGCCAGGAGCATCTCCCGGAGCTGCCAAAGGATTCCTCGAGGATGTCTCACCGCAGCCAGGACGGGAGCAGTGCGGGATTCCCTGGACGGCAGCGGGACACGGGCCAGGGGCCACGGGCTCCTGGCTGAGCCCACGGGGGGGTGCCTCGGCCACAGTGGGCTTCACTCCGGGGAAGTGAGTGGAAGTGGGGAGCCGGGCACGGGGGCTGCCTGCTCCCCGGGACCTCGGGGTGCTCTGGGCGCCTGAACGAGGGTCCTGTGGAGCCCCATCCGTAGGGAGCCCCTCGTCCAAGCGCTCTTGGAAGGGCCTTTTCCTGTGAGTGCGTCCTTGGGCAGCGCACGCAACACCGTGATGGAGGCTTGGAGCGCAGCAGGAAGGAACTGTGTCCAGCCCAGAGCCCGACTGTCTCCAGCATGACTGGACTCGTAGGAATCCGCAGTGAGTCACGAATTCCCCCAAGACCCCCAGGGAACAAAGCAAAGCCACTGGCACAAAGGACATCCCCGGCCACTGCTCTGTGTCCTTGTGTCCCTGCCAGCTCCCTGACAGCTCAGAGAACGCCGTGGGGTGCTGCGGGAGCAGCTGACCGTTCCCGTAACAGCCCCGTCCCCCTGCCAGCTGATAAGAGCCGCTGCGCGGAGGCGGCAGCAGCCACAGTCGGAGTGTTTGAAGCGTCCCCTCACCCCGTTCCTGCGGCTGGGCTCCACGGCGGGATGCCAGCTCGGAGCTCCCTCTGTGCCGCTCTGCGCGTGTCCCCTCTGCGGGGAGTGGCAGCCTCGGCACACGTGGGGCAGCCAAGGTGGAGGGGGACAAAGTCCTGCCGGGGCACCTTGGGCCCATGTGACGGCGGGAGTCAGAGCCGCGGGCTGGCACACACCCTGCCCTGCCTGTGCCACCATCCCGGTCGTGCTGGGGGAGGGACAAGGTGCCAGCACCCTGTCCCCACTGCTCAGAACCGTGGGAAGACCCCACATCCAGCTGGCTTGGCCCTGGATGCCCCATGGACACCCTCGGGCTCTGCCGAGCTGCCACCCCCGCGGGGTGCAGAGTGAAGACCCCACTGTTGAAGGGATGAATCCCTCCAAACCCACCCGGAAAAGCCGCACACCCTGCTGGGAACACCGGCAGAGGCCGGGACAGTGGCCCTATGGCTTTGGGGGTGCTGCAGCGTCCCGGATCCCCCCCAAAGCCAACCCCCCAGGTATTGCATCCCACACATCGGGCACTCCGTGGAACCGGGGGGCTGGAGACCCCCCCAAATCCCCGGGCCGGGGCAGCTCTGGGGGCAGCGGGGCGATGTGAGAGGGGCAGGGAGGTGCTGCGCCCGCAGAGCTCGGCTCAGAGACGACCCTGGAGCGAGTTTCTCGGTAGGAAGCAGCCAGGAAAGGCAGGGAGTGACCCGCGGCTTCCTCCCCAGCCAGCGGCACGGGAAGGGGCCACCTCAGCCTCCAATGGCTGCAGGACGTGTTGTCCCGGGAGGTGCCAGATCACAGCCATGGGGTGAAGCTTTGCTGTCCCTACAGGGGTCTGGGGGCTCCTGGGGAGGGGGACTCCACCCTCACCTCCCTGGGATGGCCTTGGGGACATCGCAGGGTCGGGCCAGGAGCATCCCCCTGCCATTTGTGGGGGACACACCAAACAGGCGTGTGGGGCACAGCGACCCCTCCCTGTAATTTGTAAAAAAACCCAAATAACAGTGCCCGGGTCCTTCTGCAGTGATGTCAACCCTGCCCCCCCCACCCCTTTCCCCCCCACAGGATGGAGCTGAGGAGGGCGAAAGAGCTGGAGCTGGGATCTAAATCCCATCTCGGTGGGTTTCTGCTGCTTAAGGGGTCAGGGAGGTGTCTGGACATTGGTGTCGCCCGGCCGGACACTCGTGTGGCTTGGCCGGGCGCTGCTGTCCCCTGGCCGCTCTCGGCGGCAGGGCTGGAGTGCCACCTCTCGGGAGCGCCGGGACAGAGACGGCAGCAGACGGGCAGCCTCTACTCCAAATTTTAATGAAACAAATAAGTTAATAAGTTAATCAAGTGAGGTAACTACCGCTGGCTCTGGGAGGGGGGCCGCGGGGAGAAGCCAGCCCCGGGAGGAGGGGTCCTAAGGGTTAATTCCTGCGTGCGGCTGCGGGCAAAGCTGTCACATGCACCTCGCCCCACGCCACCCAGCCAGCGCTGTGTCCGTGTGTTCCCCTGCCTGGGCACTCCCGGAACGAAGGGAGCGCGCAGGGTGGGGGGCTCCCAGCAGCTCTGGCACGGCCCGCGCTGGCCACATGCACTAAGGGGGCGAGAAAACGAGCAGGGTCGGGGGTCCCCACTGCCCGGAGCAGAGGCACGGGAAAAGGGGATGCGAATCCCTCGGTGCCAAGCCCAGAGAGGAGTGGCGCTGGCAATGAGGGGAGCGGTGGGAGCAGCCCAGGACAGAGCCCGGCACCGTGGAGTCACCAGCGAGCCCCACCTGGAGCCTCGGCTGCAGCCCCAGCCTGGCACTTTGGGACCAGCCCGGTGTTGCTGGACTGGGAACCAGCACCGGCTCTGGGGGCAGGGCAGCGCAGGGGATTGGGGCAGCGTGGGAGCTGTCGTGGCTCTGCTGTAGGTGACATGCAGGGACACTGCCCTGTCCCGTCCAGGCCCAGCCCGTGCTTCCCGGACCACAGAGAGGACAGGGACACGGGCAGGGACAAACTGAGCACCGCAGGACCCAGCTGGGAGGGAATCCTCAAAGCAGGAGCAGGGGCTGGGACAGAGCGGGAGGGATGCTCCTTGAGGACAGCGCCTTGTGCCTGTAACCCTGCCTTCCGCACAGCCTCTGCTCCAGGACCACCCTCAGATGGAGATTTTCCCCCAGCCCTGAGTCCTCAGGGCCTCCAGAGCCCTCCTGGGCAGCACAGTCCAGGCCTGGGAGCTGGCAGGGTGTTGCTTATTGCCTATGTCCCCTCGGGTTGCTCGTCCCAGGGGTGTTGCATATTAAGACATTATTGCATAAATATGTATATATATATATCTTCTATATATATATTGCCCTGGGAGCATGCATGGGCAGACAGAAGGCTCTGCTGTGCTTCTGGAGAGGTGCAGCCTGGTGAGGGGGGACGGTCCCCTGCTCCCCGCACTGGGGACCCCGAGTGACGCAGGTGAGACCACCCTGGGTCGAGCCCACACACCCCTGCACTGGCAGCAAGAGGGAGGTAGGACCTTGCATAGCTGGTGGTGGCCCCGGCTCAGCTCTGGGGGACCAGGCAGGACCTGTCCTGAGGGCTGGGGTTCAAACCAAACCCCAGGGGATGGGACCAGCCCGGAGCATCCCCACCGCAGCTGGGGAGCACCCAGGACCCCGGAGCTGGGGGAGTGTTATCCCACAGAAAGCCGGGAACATCCCAGGAGCACCCCAGGAACATCCCAGGAGCACCCCAGGAACATCTCAGGAGCACCCCAGGAACATCCCAGGAGCACCCCAGGAACATCCCAGGAGCATGGGCCGTGCCACAGTGCCACAGGCACCCCGCTGCAGCCGTGTCCCCACAAAGGAAGACTTGGTTCAAGTAACACAGCGAGGGACAGCGAGGGACAGCGAGGGGACAAGGCCACGCCGCTCCCAGTGCCCCATCCCAGGGTCCATCCCGCTGCCTTCTGCTCAGTCCATGTTGGCGCTGGCCGACCTGGAGATGCTGAGGGTCTGAGCAGACACAGAGATGTCCTCGTGGTCCACGGGGCTGTGGTAGTCGGAGGTGATGTCAGGCTCTCCGGGCGGGACCCGCACTGCGGCCAGGCTGAAGGAGTTGGTGGAGCCCTTGCGGAGGCACTGCGAGTAGAGGCCAAGCAGCAGGTCCAGCTTGTGCTCGATGGATTGCACCTGTAAGGGGCGCAGGGTGGCTCTGAGCCGGGCCCACCCCTGCGGCAGCTCCCCCTCCAAAGGGACGGTGACACCCCCGGGGTGTCCCCTCCTGACCTGCCGCTCCACTTTGACCACGCGCCCCATCATGCTGAGCTCGTCCACCAGCTCCCCCTCCAGCGCCGGCTTCTCCCCCTTCTCCCGAACCTTCTTATCCACAGGGAGCGCCCGATCCCTGCCCACGATCTGGTCCACGCTGGCAGGGAGGGAAGGGGCAGAGCCCATCCATCACTCCCAAGGGCTTGGAAACCCACCAGGGACGGAGCTCTGGGAATGTGGGAGAACCCCCAGTGTCACCTGCAGGGCACCTCACCGCGTCTGCAGGCTCTTGATCCTGCCCAGCATGTCCAGGTGTCCGGCCGAGTACTGCTCAATGACATCCTTGACATCGTAGGGACGCAAGGTCTCCTTGAACTTCCTCTTGGCCACCAGGAACTTGAGGATCCTGCAGGGACAGCCGGGCTGGAGGCAGGAATGGGGTGCCCGAGGGGGCTCTGTGCACGCTGGGGGACACGGGAGGGGACAGTCTCACCTGACGGCCCGGATGAGGGTCTTCACTGCCGGCATGATGTCCTCGAAGGTCAGGTCACAGGGGGAGCTCCTCTCCTCGCCACTGTCCTCCGGCGGGCAGTCAGCTGTGGGTGCCAAGAGCAGGTGGATGGCAGATCCCGAGGGGGATCCCCAACCCTGCAGCCCCCCGGTGTCCCCCAGCCTCCCCGCCCAGGGGCTCACCCTCAGCCGGGGTCCGCGGCTTCAGCCTCAGGGATGCTCGGAACCGGGTGCGGTCGTTGAAGCTCCAGCTTTTCTGCACCTTGGTGGGGCTGGAGGCCTCGGTGACATCCTCGGTGCTGGGGGAGCGGTGCAGGGGCGGCCCCAGGTGCTGCTGCCGGCCGCGGCTGCCCTGGCGCTGGGAGCTGCTCAGCCGGATCCGCTCCTTGATGCCCATCTTGTTGCTGCGTGGGGACAGCGGGAGGGACGGGTCAGGGGCATGGGGACAGGGACGGGGATGGGGGGTGGTCCCTGGGGTGAAGTGAGGGTGGCCGTGCTGAGCTCACAGAGAGCCCCCGGCAGGTGATGGGCACGAGCCAGGCCAGGAGCAGGTGGTTCCTGCAGGGGCAGCTCTGGGCTTGCTTCTTTAAACCCTTTTTTTTGGTTCCAAGAGCAGAGAAAGGCGGTGACAGACAGGGTGAGAGGGGATAGACAAGCGTGGCAGCAGGGGACACGCGGCAGAGCCACCTCTGAGCTGAGCAGAGCTCTGCTCCTGCTCCATCCCTGTTGGCAGTGTCCAGACCTGGCCTCCTCCTCCTCCTCCTCCTCCTCCTCCTCCTCCTCCTCCTGGCTGCACCCCCCAATCCTCGCTCTCCTCCTCCCCA